ATTTCCTGTAGTGCGTGTCTTCTGGCCATAAATTCTCTCACCTCCTGCTTGTCTGACTAAGTCTGCATTGATTTTCATTTTTGCAAGTTATTTTCACTAGATATAGAATTTTAGGTTGATAATGTCTTTATTTTTCTTTCAACATATTAAGTATATCCATAATTGTCTTTTGATCCAATCATTTCTGACAAGAATTCTGTAGTTAATGTAATTTAGATGTATTAGGTTTTTTTCCCTCTGGTTGTTTCCATTACTTTTGCCTTTATTATGGGTATTGAACAATTTTATTATGAAGTGCCCTATTGTGTTTTTTTGTGTGTGTTGACCCTGCTTGAGATTATTAAGCTTCTTAAGTTTAGAGTTTTCATCAAATTAAAAAAAAATTTTGTCATTATTTTTTCATATATTTTTTGACCCTCCTCCTTTTGAAATATCAATTATATATACTGTCTGAGATTGTTCCACAGATCACTAAGACCATATATGTATGTATGTACGTATATATACATGTATGTAATTATATTTAATTTTACTGATTTTTTTACTTCCATAGTGTCTAAATTGCTACTACCTCCAATCAGCTTATTCTTTCTTTCTCATATTGCATTTTTCAGCTCTATATCCATTGCTACTTTTTCATGTTTTTCACTTCTACTCATATTATGTTCATGTTTTTTATTAAATTCTTGAAAATATTTATAACAGTATAGAAAGTCCTTTTGTTCTGCCAATTTCATCATCTCTGTCATTTCTGCATCTGATCATATTGACTAATTTTCCTCCTTCTTATGGGTCACATTTTTTTTACTTTGCATGTCCAGTAAATGTTTAAGGGATTCTAGACACTGAGAATGTTAGAATGTCATGTGTTTAGATTTTCTGTTTTATTCTTTCTCTTTGGAATAAAAAAAATAGATATTTTTGTTTTGTTCTCTAACAAGTGTTTAATTTAGTTTTGGCAGGCAGTTAAGTCATTTGTAGATCAGGTTGATCTTTTCAAAGGTGGATGTTAATCTTTTTCAGGGTGGGTCTAGTGCAGTTTTTAGCCAGGGCTAATAGAGCCTTACCATTAAGGGACTTCACCAATTGCCTCAGAGGTTCAATGACATCTTATCACTCTGGCTGGATGGAACTCACACCTCTTCCAGCCCTGTGGAATGTCTGGAAATTGCTTAGTTTCCAGCTCCCTGGAGGTGCACGTGCAGCTTAGTATTCATCAACTGACTCAAGGGAACTCTTGTCCCCGTTCTCGGGAGTGCTGTCTCTGGAGTTCCCTCCCCTTCCACACTCTTCCCTGCACATTACAGCCACCTCCAGCTCCTGAGCTTTAATGTCTGTCTTCTCAGCTCAGTGAGACCACTGTGTTCTGCTGGTTCCCTTCCCTGTGCTGGGTTCTGGGAATTGCCTACAGGTAGAAAGCAGGGAAGATTTGGGGGCTGGAATCATTTGCTTCTCTTCTCTCCTGGACCATTTCCTACATTACCTGGTGTCCAATGAATGGAACCAATTGTTCCACACATTTTTTCCAGTTTTAGAGTTAATCACACCAGGAACAAAAACCCAGTACTAGTTACTCCAATATGGCCAGAAACAAAAATAATTCTGGAATGTTATATTCATATACTAATACAAAAAAGACAAGAGACTTAGATTTTAATCCCCATGGGCTGGGAGTTTTCTTGCATGAGTAAGCACAATGATTTTTCTTTGGAACATTATGACATTATGATCTTGTTGAAATACTTTTTTATTCTAATACAATAATGCTGTAATCTAGAAATCACCCCACAGAAAAGACATATTGGAAAGACTGTTACCTACGTTTCTCCTAGGAATCCCATTAACCTCTAAATTGTGACCTTTCACCTCCTTTTTTTTCCCTGGACAGTACAGAGAGAGGTTGAACCCCAGATCCCAGACCTTGATGTTATCTGCACCATGCTCTAACCAAGTGAGATAACTGACCAGCTCACCTTCAATCCCATTAACCTCTAAATTGTGACCTTTCACCTCCTTTTTTTTCCCTGGACAGTACAGAGGTTGAACCCCAGATCCCAGACCTTGATGTTATCTGCACCATGCTCTAACCAAGTGAGATAACTGACCAGCTCACCTTCCACTTACGCAGTGAAGAACACTTTACTTTCTAGTCCAGACCATTTTGCTGGGCCTTGGTCCCAGCCCGTTACCTGCTAGACACCTCCAGCTGGATGACTTAAGGCTCCCCAGGTACAACAGACCCAATTATTTCCATTCCACAAGCACACCACCATGTCTACAACCTGCTTTTTCTTCTCTATTTTTTATTTGAGATCACTTCTTAAACCAGATGCTTAAAAATCATACGATGTCATTTCTTTTCAGTCACACCCCACATGCAAAGCAGTCACCAACCCTTATTAATTTTTTTTCTTGCTGTTGTTCACATCTGATCTCTCCAACAGTATGTATAGTAGGATTTTTTGGTAACTAGCCAGTACAGGGATCTAACTCTGGACCTTGGTGTTGTCAGCACCACACTCTAACGTGTCCTCTGCAAGACTATAATTCTGGTTTTCTGTATTCTTACATGGACAAATGCAAAAGCCTAATAGTTGTTCTCCCCTGCATCTAGTCTTAATTTTCTAAGTATAATTTTCAAAAGGTTAAAAGCATGACTTTGTGAAAATATAAAATGAATTGTTAAAGTTGTTAAAACCACTAACGAATGAGGAAATCAGTTCAAAGTAGGGGCTGAAGAACATATTTATATGTGGTAAGAAATGCCGAAATAAATTTTCTAATGATGTAAATAAGTTAATATCTTATGTGGCAATAAAATGCAATGTTTGACGTATCTCTTCTAACAGGCATGAATCAACTGTTTCTCTAATAGGTAAGAATTATTTGCATTGCTATGGAAAAGAATTATTTGCATGACTATCAGTTTTCTACTATTTCTATCCTTATAGAGTTATAAAATTGCCTAGTTGATGGAAATTCAAAAGTGCACACCCTCAAAAAATCGGTGATGTTCCAAAAGACTTACTAGACAACGTCCAGCATGACATTGTAAAGACACCTGTAATTTCCAAGTCTTGGATATTTTTTCCTGACATCAGCAAGATGACAGTACTCCCTATCCCAGGGAAAAACAATTTTCCCCAGACTGGATGCAGAGAACTCTTAGGAAATTTTAAAGACTTTTAATTTAAAAGTCAAGTAAAAATGTAAAGGTTTGTAGGGTGGATTTCTAGGGATTTTGACATCAGTTTTTTTTTTTAATTGTATAAATTGGAAAGGCAGAATTTTGTGGTAGTTAATAACAAAGATTCTGGGATCAGGCTGCCTGCCGTGAGCTCTGAGGTTCTGTGACCTTGGGCAACTTAGTTGAACTCTCGATGCCTCAGTTTCCTCATGTAAAAAATGTAGGTAATGAAGATTAATTAGTTATTTTTATTTACTTTATTTAATATTCTATTTTATTTTAGTGGAGCACTTAGAACAATGTCTGGCACAGGATTAACATTACAAAGAATTGTTTGCTAAAATTTGAAAATATAACACAGAAGTAGAAGGAGGAAAAGTTCGTGATTTAAATCTTGGAATGTATTTCTCATGAGCACTCATGATAGTGAGAGTGGCGAATGTTGTGCTTTTGTTATAATTCAGTCCTTATTTAGGAGAAACTGTTTCGTTCCAAATTACCTAAGGCCAAAGACAATGCAGTTACCATTCAATTTTCTTTTAATGCTGATATTGTAGGGAGGTTTCTCCTTTTGAAGGAAATCTAGCATCTAGTTTCCTGTGGGGAATAACATTTTGATGGTTGACTTGATTCTACTCTTTGCAAAAACGACTCTAGGAGCAGAGTTGTTGCTTGAGTTGATAACGGATCTAAGGAATGAAGGACAAAGGCCCATTTAGATTCTTACTGATTCTCATTTTTCTCCCTGATTTAAGCTCAGCAACTGGTCAAAAATGATCATCTGACCTGAAATGAGCTTAACTGTTTCTTGGACCTTGAGCAAAGATCTGCCATTAAATTGAAAACTAGAAGCATTCCACAAACACATAAGCTATTAGTGAGTACTCTACAATGTACACAATAGAGAATATAGGAGGACTATATGTCAAGGTAGTGGAGAAAATTGATACAAGACAGATCATTCTAACAGGATGATGTGCTCATCAAGCACTGTGGTTTTGTTTTTGTTTTTGTTTTTTTACCATAAAAAATATGAGATGGGAACCACTACAATTTATTTCTAAATTTCAGAAAGCCTAAATTTAATAGCTTGTCAATGTCACACAGCAATTACACGGTGCACACTGTGACACTTGAGCTGCAAATTTTGCCAGAGTGGGAAGTTCCCATTTCATCCCTCCTTCTCCTGTCTCACGCTCATGCACTGCAGAAACTCCTCGAGGTCATGAGCAGTCTACAGAATGTTTTCTTGTCTTGAGACCAAGGGTACAGGTGGCTTTACACAAGCGACCAAACGAAATCTAAGCTTTTTCCTTTTCCTAGTTTCCATATTTCTATTCACTCCTTGGTACAGACACGGAGAGACTTGTTTTGTTTAGGAGTATGTCCAGAGTTATTTTCAAAATGCACATTCTGCTTTTCAAGAAAATATATTAAAACCAAATACTTTCTTTGAAAATTTGTATTTGAGCAAAAAGTACAGATACTTAATTGGAGTAAACCCAGAAATAATTATAATTTCTCAGTGCAAAAATGTTAACCAAAGCATTCTCCAAAAGGTAGTCCCTGGCTTTTAAAGGTATCTATTTCCAAACTTAATAATAGAGTCAAGCAAAAATTGACAATGAGGATATTCAAAATTCAAAATATTATATGTTTGGTATAATCATTTACCTATACAATCATTAATTTATGGCTTGTAGATGTCGCCTTATTTTATCAGTATGTAGTGGTACACTGAACACATACCACGTATGAAATAAATACTCATTAAACTGATGGGAATTGGAAAACACCATTAATTACACAATTGCTAACAACCAAACCAGCTGTTGCTTTTCAGTCTTCTGGTGATATAACAAAATAGAAAATCATAGTCAAATTTGTTAAAACCTTGGAAGAAATATTAGTGTCTTAAAAATGAAACCAAATTAAATTGTTTAATTCTCCTCTTGTGTTTCTTTAAAAAACATAGATCTGTTTTTATAGCTTATCTAGATCAGATGAGATGTGATTGAAGAATATAAATGTTGGGGACCTTTGGCTGTGTATCCTGCCCCCAGATATCTGCCTACAGCCAGTCACACTCCAGGTGAAGGATTCAAGACACTGGATATGGGCCCAGGTGGGGCACATGGGGGACTCGATGGAGGAAAAGACACTGCAGGAATCATAAAAACCAAAATATCTTGGCCCAATGAACGAGTTTGCTTTGGCTGACCTTGCTTGAAGACATTCACAACACAAACTCAAGCTTCTCTCCTCCCACCCAAAGCCCCAGTCCAGAGGGCCTGGGAGGGTAGAAGGGACTGAAAGAAATGTCGAGAACGCAAGGTAGCAAGAAGGACGAAGCTGCAGGCTACCTGAGTCCTGGCTGCCACATGCTCACTTGCACACGCCACACAGCTGATGTGGTCACAGGAAATTCCAGAGGCTCAGACACACGGGAAGTGGCGACAATCACAGTCCCCCTGCCTGCCAGACCCCCCTAGGCGTACACCATTGGTGCCACTGGCCCCTGTTCATTCTTCCGGCCTGCCTGTTCTGAGCCAAGTATAGTGTGAGTTTGCCTGCATGGCCCTAGGATAACAGCAGAGTCCTATGCCTTTCCAATTTGGAGGCCCACTAGCTGCTCTTGGAGGCTTTATAGTGTTTTAAAATGGAATTTCCAGTATCTTCATAGTTTTCTAACCTACTTACTTTTAAAATAGAAAACTGCATCAATTTTAGGCCCAGTTCCTGAGAAGAGCTTGGTATTCATTTGGGTTAAGTGGGGTCGATGGAATGTCCCCTCTCATCATACCTGAGCAAAGAAACAACGAACAGAAACGCAATCAGAAAATGCATTTCAGGACTTGAACCACAAACCCATCTTCCTTTCTGAAAGGCTCTTCCCGAAAGGGTTTTAAAGGTACTGAAGAAGAAAACCATGTACCTAAACAGTTCACTGATGTACTGCAAGTCCCTGTAGGACTCCAAACCTGGGCTTCCTGTCTCTGGGTAAGCTTTTCCCCACTATCTCACTAGGCTTTCACCAGTGCCTGGTCCTGCTTTGTAGATTTTGGCACCAAAGGTGACTTGGCTGGAGCACAGGCTCCCCATGACCAATTACTCAGCTGCCTGTCATTGCATTCTTTTCAAAGCTTTCCACTGAAACAAACACAACCACTTGCCCCCAAAAGACAATAGAAGGGGCAAGGTTTAAAAGCCAGGGAGCCAGAGGGTTTTAAACATACGTGTCAGAGAGAAACTGAAAATATACCCTTTATCATGTCCAGGCTGTAGAGTCAGGTTCCAGTTTCTCCTCCAAATTCTCTTTTATCAGCAGGTGAAAAGAGTTCCAAGTAGCAATTTCAATTTAGTTGTCCAATATATTGCTTGCTTAGTAGCACTGCCCAACTGGCCTTCAGGGAAAGAGGAATCCTGGGCTAGGTGGGAGCAGAAAAGTAAATAGAGCCACTGGTCAGAGTTGAAGTGCTAATGTCAATAATGGCAGACCATGAGAAACAACAGCCATTTGGGAGCTCTCTAGAAAGTCTTATTTGCTCAATTCAAAATTTTTGTCTCTCAAGCAGAGCTAAGGGTTGGTGGACAAACTCAAGTCTTAAGAACGTGGTATTCAATGGGAATTAGATGTTGAATTTAAATGATCAAGAAAAAAATAGTGCTTTAATATAACCTCCCTAACACAGTTTATTATGCCTCATGTCAACCACACAAAGATCTGGGAAATGACTTGTTTTCTCAGAAGAGGGTAGAGAGGATCCTGTCCTCCTTCAAAATTTAGACACTTGAAACAAAGGAGACGGACACTCAGATGAGCTCCTGTCCTCACCTGACTACCTAATTTCCTGCCAGGGAAGACCATGCAGGATCTCCTGTCACTCAGAGGATGGTTTCCTCATTTCGCCTTTTGGGTCCAGTGATTATGGAAAGGAGTCTGGAAACCCACACACCCTCCAAACTGACTGTAGACTAACTTCTAAATCTCATCCAGCTATCACACTATTTCCCAATGTTTGTCTACTATGATTAATAACATTTTATTTAAAGTGTTCCTTTTTAAAAACACACTGTACATATTATAGAGGCAGAGAGATTGGGAAGGGAATGGGGAGGGAAAACAGGGAGAGGCTGGCCAACAGATACAAAATTACAGTCAGATAGGAGGAAAAGTTCTGATGTTCTGTTGCACAGTAGGGTGACTGTGGTTAACAGTTAAGTTTCTGGGGCTGGCCAGGTATCTCAGTTGGTTAGAGCACCATGTTTTAACACAAAGGTCATGGGTTCAGGTCCCTGTACTAGCCAGCTGCCCCCTGCCACTCAAAAAAGTTCTATATATTACGCAGTAGTAGGAGAGAGGCTTTTGAATGTTTTGCCACAAAGAAATGATAAATGCATGAGGTAACTGATACATTAACTACACTCCCAATTATTATACGACATATGTAAGTATCAAAATATCAGACTGTACCCCATAAGTATGTATAATTACCATGTGTTAATTAATGTTAAGAAAAAATAAAGATAGAATTAAAAAAAACACATTATACTCCAATGCGAGTACTATCTCTTATATCAGAAACTAAAAATACAGAGAAAAGAACGAGGCTGACAATAACTATTTCAGTCCTATGTTCTCTTGATCTCTCTCCCATTAAGGTGAAAGATCCCTGGGAACTTGCATAGAAAAACTGCTTTCCAGAAAAGCACATTGAATTCTTGCTTCACAAATCTTAAGAGTCAAATTACCAACCATTCAATATTGATCATCTGCAAAGAAGGAGGTCTTATGAAAAAGTGGCTTAAAAACAGCTGCATTAATTTTTTTCACAGAGTCAGGGAAGCCCAGAGAACATCTGCTCTTGGGATAGTTTGGCTGTGGTCTTAAATTGATAATTAACTAGTACTTGAAATCTGTGAAGACAAAGAAAAGTGGTACATTAGAATTATACAGAAAGAGTAATAAATATCATGACTCAGTAAAAACAACATTAATCTTTTCCCAACGTTCCAAAATGGATGGCTGGTTTTTATTTATTTTATTTTATTTTTGGCAGCTGGCAAGTACTGGGATCCAAACACCTGACCTTGTGTTATAATGTGTGCACTGTGACCAACTAAGCTCGCTGGCCAGCCCATGCTTGCACAGTCTATCTCCTATGGTCCCATATGTTTCTTCATAAGTATTACCATCATATATTTTACAAACATTTCCCCAAAGTTGTATATATTCCTGAGGTGTTTATGTTAGTTTAGCTTACAGTTCAGAGCCACCATGAATAAAACCCAGAAGGTTTTTTGTTATGTTGTTGTTGTTGATTTTATAAAACGTAGTAATATTTTCATAATTTGTTCTCTTCCTTGAAGTAGTCTAAAGGGAAAAATTAAACACTGTAATTACCTTTAAACAGATGCACTTGACTTCTGGCTGCAGTTTCACAAGCAGCTCGAGTGCCAGATGGCAAGATGGGCCATATAAGAAAGAAATTAGATTAACACTCGTCTTTGGTCTCTTAGGAAATGTCCACCAGAAACACCTGATATGAAAGACATTTCACACATGTGAAAAACTGATGTGACTCAAGAACCATGAAATGTGAGTGGAAAGGACCGGTGAAAGCACTTAGTGTTTCCATTATCTTCACGTGTTCCATGGGTGTCTGTGTAGGAGCACCACGAGGAAAGAATTCCAATCAATTCTTTGATAGCAACAATGACTGTAACAAGCAACCTGGTGTATGGAATACCCTGGAGCTTGGAATCCAAGGATCCAGTCTGGCCCCACAACCCATTCACTAGTTTCATAACCTAAAGGAAGTCATGTAACCTCACATGACTCAATCTTATCATCTCAAAAATGGGGAATGTTTGTCCTACCTACCAAGTATTAATCTTCCCCACTGTCCCCCCTGCCCCCGTCAATATTTGATTAAATTTGTGCTCCAGAACAGAAATCATACTGGAATTCTTTTCTCTACAATCAAGAAATCAAGTCTTCTTCATAGGCATACCAAGTATTAATCTTCCCCACTGTCCCCCCTGCCCCCGTCAATATTTGATTAAATTTGTGTTCCAGAACAGAAATCATACTGGAATTCTTTTCTCTACAATCAAGAAATCAAGTCTTTTTCATAGGCTCTCTTTCACAGCTTGAGTTCCAGACTTCACCATTTTTATCTGTGTTTAAAATAGTCTACCT